TGGATGTATGAGTGCGCAATCGAGCAAAAGTCAGTACAAATAACTGGCGATTATGACACGAAGTACTTTACTACTTTACTTAATATGAGTTAAAATAAACTGTTTGTTTGGATGTTGAAATAGGATGATGTATGTGCAGACTATTTAAAAGAATTATGACTCCTGACCAGCAAATCGAAAGGTGTCTTTATTCTGATGTTTCAATAATTTTCGATCCCTTGGAGATTTGAGTTTTGTCATGAAATTTAGTTTGACACGCTCTTCTATTCTTCTAAATTTATCAATTTCACTTTGTTACTTTTTTAAGTGCACTACTTGGTTTTCAATGTTGTACTGATATTTTCTTGACAAATCAAGTAACATTTTCCAGTAATTGATGAGGCAAAAATGAATCTCCTTAATAAAAAGGCGATGGTCAATTGATCCAGAGAAGTGACGCCAGGGTAGTGTTAATGAGTAGTGTACATGATCTCTAAAAAAAATTTATAATCTTTAATTATCATATTATTGTGTGCGATTCATGACTATTCAAGAATCTTTACTTTTTACACAGTTGCAGTAATGTACAATTCAAATTCATGAGGATATATGTACCAGGGTAAATACTGGAATCACAACCAAGTGAACAACTGTGTCCGTGATTTCAGTAGGCCAAATTGAGCTAGTTTAAGTTACATCGTGAAATTGACACACTTACACGAAAATATACATTTTGAATTGCACCAAGTGAGGATGACACCAGATTCAGGAACCACTACAAACATATTTTTTTCATGCATTTATAAAAATTTTCTATTATATCTTGTCACAAAAATATGCTATGATATTTGTTAATTTTTAAGCATATTGTGCCTCATTGGTTACCTTAATGTTATCATATGTTCCAAATAAAGCATGATATTTTGCACTGTTTAGATGGTTTATTTCCACAATTTGTCAATTTACTGTGGATTCAAGTTGAAATTCCTATTTAGACAATTGAAAACCTCAAAAATAAATTATAACACTTTTGACAAACTACATGTTATACCCTTAAACCACTTATAAATCCAAAACAGTCAACTTTAGAGAAAAGTTATTAAGGATCTCTAACTTTTTTGCTTCATCTATTTATTGAGGAAACATTACTGAAGATTATAAAAAAGTGCTTGATACACTTTATGCCTATATAAAGAAACATATTTAAAGTTACTTTGGCTTACACTTTTCCATTCCTTTGCTTCAACTTTGGTAGTTTGGTTACATCTTTACTCCATGCTGCTTTGGCTGACTTCAATTCCTCCTCACTAACAACCTCAACAGTGTGTTGAGGTGAACCAGACTCTTCACTTGTCCCTTCAGAACTAGTGAGGTCAGGAATAGGTAGATATTTTGCTCCAGCTGCTAAAGCTGCATATGCTGTTTTGCCATCTATTTTGAAAAATGCTACAGCTTCCTACAATGATGGTATAATTCCTAATAGCATGGCTTAACTTAATCATTATGTAATATTATAGATGCATCTGCTTTTGTAGTGCAACAATTCTGATAAACATTTTCATTCTTGAACATATACAAGAAAAGTATTCAATGAAAATATCCATGGTCAATAAATAAAGCATAAAATATTTTCAATTAGACTATACACCTAATTGTTGAATCCTCAGTTTGAACTATCAAATTGGAGTCAGTTACATATCACAAATAAAACATTACCATGTTACATTTGATGTTTTCTATTCACCTTTTCTGAACATTATATAATTATTTAAGCATGTCTACTAAAAAGATCAGTAATACATAAATAATACATTTACTGTATCAACTATCAGTATCAAAAACAATGTTATACCAAAGGAAGTATGATGCAAACTATAACTGCTATTACTCACCTTAAATTGAGGGATGGTTTCACAATGTTCTATCCATTTTATAATATTTGGCAACAAAAGATATTCTTTCCTCAATGCTTCATTCAAATATAATGGATATAATGTACTCCAAATAACAATATCAGCATTAGAAAATGTGTTCTGAAACATAAGACTTCATAAAATCTCTCTGAAAAAATTTCTAATGGCTCCACTTACACCAATTAAATATACTTTATCTTTTAAAGAACATTCTAGTTTCGTTAAATATGTTTGCAGTGTCTTTTTAAAACTAGGATTCTTCACGGAACTTCCACAAAGATAAGCTAAGCAAGGAGACAGGTTTTTTGCTTCCCACTCCAGCCAGTCAAGTACCTCCGATGTATTTTCTTTAACTGGGTTAAAATAACAGACAGCTGAATTGGGTAGAAATAAAGTTAGATTTTCTTCCTCTTCTACGCAAGGCAAACGCCTGGGTTGAGGTATAGACCGATCTAAAACCCATTGATCTAGTTACACAATATTCGAATGTATTCATATAAGAACCATAGCCATCGAACCATAGCATATGTAATAGCTTACCATTAACATGGACTATTTTAAGGTTTACCGGAGCCTTTGACACGTTTTTGGCTATTAATAACTTCAGGGTTGCAGGGTTGTTTTCGTTAGTGTATATTAACGCCATATTCAGTTAATAATATAGATTTTCGATGCAATAAAGCTATGAAAAGTTGACACATCCACACATTTGGAGTTAAAAACAAAAGTGAGGTTATGTTACGTTGTCACATACATGTCAAAGAGCGAGTTGGTTGATGTTCTGTGAATGGATGAATCCAGGACCGTCTTTAGAATTCCAGCACTCCTCTGGATTCGTACAATACAACCAGTATATTACTCGTATTAATTCGATGTCACAATTTTAGCTGCACTGGAAAGTATTGCGGGAATACTGTCAAATTCCAGTCAAGAGCTTACTATAGTTGTAGTCACCGTTCTTGGCGGGTCGAGGTAAGACTACCAGTATCCCTTTATAGCTCAAACCATACGTTTTTCAGTTGTGTGTGTCCGTCTCGATAACTTTCGTTACGTATGAGTGCCTTTCAATTATATTTGTCAGAGTGACAACTTACTTGACATGGGCGTGCAATTTGAGTTGTCCTGGTATTAATCTTCAATATAAAATTGTACAGTGCCCGGAAATACGATCAATGGAGAAGGTCGACAGTTCGTCCTAAATTTATTATTTCCAGGAAGAGAATGAAAGCAGCGGTCCCCTCTGTTACCCATTTCATACATATTAGAGTTGGTTGGGAAAATTAAGATCCGCTCATGGTACGGAGACTACAACTATAAAAGTGTAAAAGCGTCCTTCACACTGTAAAACAATAAGTGAGAGTTCAATAATTGAGTAAATCTTAATCGCCACTTGTATATTATGGTTTTCCGTTTGACAATCTCTAACCACCTTCTAGGGATGGGCGGTTATTGTTAAAAAACCTGTTGTAGGGTAACCGAACCAAATTTAACCGGATATACGGTTAATCGGAAAATAGCTTTTATTTTTGTTCATCAACAATTTAAAGTGTCATTTGCCATGGCTAGCCAAGCGCTGGATAACGCATAGCATACGGTGAAAACGTGCACAGAGCGGCATTCATGTCAGACTCACGACAATGCTGGAAACATGTTAACATTTGTCAAACGTCAATAAGTCTTGTCATAAGCCGTGGCGCAAAGAATACGTTTTGTGATCATAGAACATCTATTAGAATCTAGGTCTATCCCAAAACAGCAGGGTATTACGTAACTTGAATCAAATTCAAGCGGATAACCAAATGGAAATGGTATTTACCATTTTGGGTTGGTATTTACCGATCCGTTCAAGAGAGTGTAGTTATCAGTTTGGTTATAAGATCCGTGACGTCACGAATCAGCTGTTATACGTCATAGTTATCACCGCAAAATTGTGGTATTTACCCAACTCAAGAGTAGTTTTATATTTCTGGTTATTGTTTGAAATGTGACAAGTTAAAATTTTGCCGGGTATTGGATATTGTTATTGTACTTCAGCTTCATTTTTGAGAAAATTGATAGAGGCTGACTTCAGTTTTACCATAAAGTGGAGCTCCTTATTAGTTATACTCATTACGGTTGTTGGGGACACTTTAAATGTAGTTCCTATGCTTTACAAAGTATCCTGTGTAGCCATATACCACAAGAATATTAAATATAGCCATATAAACTCACTAGATGATATCCACCTGTATACGGTTTTGCTAATTTCTTTTTTCATCATTTCTGCTGAATCAATAAATAATTTCTTGACATGCGGAAAAATTTAGAGAATTGAAAGTTATCATAGCTACAAAGCCATGGTTCCATCATTAAAAAAAATCTGAAAAAACATTTTTCCCATGAATATTATGAAAGGTTTCTTATTTAAACTTTCCATACACAGTTGTAGACGAAAAAGCATCCATTATTAAGTTATAATAAAAATAACCAGAGATTATATACGCGCTTTTCTAAAATAAACAACTAGCAACAAAACCGCGGTTAAAACCAACGCGTTCAAGCGATTCGTGTAACTGACGTCATCAACCCGTGTGTCATCTTCAACCATATTATAACCGCGGCACATAACACAGAAATTTTGGTTATTCGCTTGGATTTGATTTTGAAAAGTGACATTATGTGGATGTTTTTTTTATAGCTTTTTTATAACATTATGTAAGTTTTCCAACAAGGCGTCAACTTAAAACTGCTCACTTACAGCAAGCGCTATTTGCACACTAGTCTACTTACTCAAGAAGTTAACATCTTATCGTTTTTTTTGGCATTATTAAGGTTTTTTGTCTAACAACCCTGCGGTTATGCCGGTATTCGTATAGTTTCTCTCCAATATCCTCATATGAGGCGGGGCGTTTCGAAACGTGGTCACGGATAGCAAAAACAACACAGGTGTAATATTCATTAAGCCCATATTTACTGAGATTTGTGTAAATAGAAAAAGAAAAACCCAAAAACCCTCCTGTCGGTTATTGCATTTTTTTAACCGTTAACCGGTTAACCGTACAAGATAAAATAACCGGTTAAAACCATTTATTTAATTAACCGACTATTATTGCCCATCCCTACCACCTTCCTGACATGACATGTTGACACTTCATTGTGTTGTATGTTGTATGTTCATGTTGTGCTGTGGTCAGAGATAAACCCTTCTAGCTGTGTTGTTTAGTGATTGGTAAACGAAAAATGATTTTGTCAATCGTCTAGATTCCTGCTGAGTTTTTCCGTTTTATGAAAGTAAGTAGCATTTTTCAGCATTACAATTCAACCTACAATATCATATTACCACTTTTAGATGGAGAAACCTTCAGATAAGTTCGTCCTCAAAGATGATATGCTCACATCGCTAAAATGCTCCTTATGCGAATCATTTCTATCAGTCTCTCCAATTTACATTACTTCCGAAGATGGTAGCAAAATGAAATGTGGAAGATGCAACTTTAAAACTCATATAGTGTGTAGAGCTATTTGTTATGAGAACTTAGCCAAGCAGATGAAATTCCCTTGCATTAACAAGCCCTGTGAAGAGATTCTGGACTGGGACGACGTCAAATCGCATGAGAAAATCTGCGAACATCGTACCATACTCTGTATGAAGACCAACTGTAATGAACGCATAAAAGCGCAGGACTATATATCCCATTTTAAAACACAACATGAAAAATCATTATATACAGACACAATGGTTCTCAAAAATATACACAGTGCTTATGGAATGGGAGTTTTGCAAAAGGATTTCAATGCATTTGTAGTATTATTTGATTGTGATAATGCAAAATTTGGCCTAACAGTATGTTCATTGGTACCAACTGACAAAGTCTTTAATCTAACTATTACCTCTCCAGGATCTAAAATGTCTATTACAATTAATGAACAACCAGTAAAAAGATTTAATGAAAGATATCACTGCTATAAATGCATGCAAGGGTTATGCAAGTATGAATTTCATGCATACAGGCACCATAGACGAAACATTTTCAGTAAAATGAATGTAAAAGTTGAGAAAGATGTTGTAAAAAAGACCTATGGCAATCAGACTATATATTACAGAATAGATATTGTTGATGAAAAGAAAGAAGAAATTGATGATTTTGATGATCTTGTGGATAAAAACATGATTCTTGATGAAGCATCTGAAGATGAAAATGATGAAATATGTTTTGAGCAAGAAAATTTCTTGAGAGATACTTTAATATGCCCTCAATGTTCAAATAATCTTGAAGCTCCTATATACCAATGTGTTACAGGTCATATCTTATGTAGCAAATGTAGAGGTAAGTAATAAAAATTTGAATTCTTAAGGCTTCAAGTTACCTACATTTATTCCGATGTAAATATGCATCAGTAGTTCCATCATAGATAATTTATCTTTTTGGGGTATACATGAGGAATTCTGGCATATGGGAGATAAGAGTCTAATGGGTTAATGCAGACCCAAGATAAATTATTTGTTTTTTTTTTCTTATATAAATAATGCAGTTGAAAATATGATGAGATGAGAATATTTATTCTCTCCACTCTCAGAGTAAATTAAATATTCTACCTAAAACATCTTTTTTTGATAAATCGTGAAGGTTTTTCTTTCACCTGATAAAACAAATAGCTTATCGTAGAACTGTAATGTGTTTTCCTTAAATCATGTTATATTGTATGTTTTACAATAAAGATTATTCTGGAAAACTGTAAAGTCTTCCCTAAGCCTTTATATACACAATTTTATTGTTTATCTCAAAAATAAAATTGAAATGATTGATGTATGAGCATGACATTGCAACAGATATACCCTTAAATACAGCATGAGAGAAATAATCTTGAAAAAAAAGTGGCTAATTATGTACTGCATATGTGGTTTTAATTTTTATAGATGGAGCAGAGGCATGTCCAACCTGTGAATCTAAGATTGAAAATACAAGGAACTACCTTTTTGAAGAAGTTGCCGCATCGTTTGAGGCTATTAGTACACAAAAACCTGAAGATAGACCTCAAGCTGAACTAAAAGACAAAGAGATTGAATGTCCTCAACCTAAATGTTTTGAAAAGATACATCTTAAAGATATAGCTGACCATTATAAAGAACACCATATAAACAATTTCCATTTCAATACTTTTTCCATTAAAAATGTTTATACTTATTATAACATTGATGTTTTGGTAAAATATGGAAAAACATTTATACTTTTATTTGATTTTGATGATGTCAATTTTGGTATTAGTATATGTTCCTTAGATGATGAAGAGGGGTTGGAGTATGAAATCACATTGAGTTCTGCTGATAATAATCACTCTGTTAAAGCTATCAGGCAGAAGCTTGTAGTGTTTGATGATGCTACATATTGCTTCAAGTGTGCATTAGGTAAGTAAAACATTATTTAATTATGAATATATTTGAACCAGAGTTATAAATGATTTAATCAGTTCTGTTACAATATCATCATTTGCAATCAAACATTGGTTTTGTCTAAAACAAACAAAATGCAAAATTCGACCTTAATCTTACAAAATATGAGGCTGTTTTATCTATTCTTCTAGTCTGCATCAAAACAAGCGCATGTACACGTCCCCATTTCTATTTGCTTGTTGCTACTTGGCCCAGGAGTTTAAGGCCTACTTGCTGATATGAATGCAGGAATTTTAATATTGCTGGTTTTTTAATGGGGAGTAGGTTTGAGTAGAGAAACTGTATTTTTCATGAATTACTTACAATCGTTTTTCAAGGATGCTGTAGTTTATTCATGTTTTTGTGTACATGCTAATAGGATTTTATTTGTATTGTACAATTACGGTATATTTCATGTCAACATTAGAAAGTTTCCTCACATCTGACAAAACTTCATTGTACAAAACTTTTCATCTGAGATTTGGAGGTCAACTTTTGTCACTTCTTATTCATGGAAAAGAGTGGAAATATTCACAATATACTTTTGAAGACATTATGTTGGAATAAAAAGTTTGGAAACAATAGTTGAAAGTCTGTGGTTAGCAAAATATATCATATATCTAAATGTATTTACATAACTGTTTTAGATTATTTTTCCTACATGTCTTTCTTGAATCTCTAGGCAAATGCAAAAATGACCAACATCATGGGTCTCATAAATTTAAGAGGAGAGACATCTTCCGAAATATGGTAACGAAAATAAACAGGGACTCAACAAGGAGAATGTTCAACACAGTCAATATGAACTATACTGTAAGAATTGTTGATGTTTCGACATTGGTGCAAAGGGATAAGATTATCAGACAGATGTTTGAGTGCACAATTTGCAAGGATTATATGGTTAGTAGTAATTTACAGTTCTAGTACAGACACCGCCGTCGAGTTATTATCAAATCACGCGTGTAGTTCATACTGAGTTTACGTGTTTAATTTGAGTATGAAGCTCGACCTTTACCGATATGATTTAGTATGGAGTATGTCAATTAGACATTAAAAGATTATTTTGCCCCTTTCACATGGCAGATATTGCGGTTGCAGCTGCTATTCTGCAACCTTTTCTATCACACTGGATCTGAATATGGATCCTGTACCATTTTGTCTACCCTATCATGATGTTGGATAGGCTCAGACCTTTTGTATCACATTCTATATATTTTGCAGGTTCCTCCAATCCCTCAATGCCTATCTGGACACTCGCTATGCAACACGTGTGCCTCAAAGGTAGAGAAATGTCCAAGTTGTGAGGCAGCTCTAACAGGTACTCGAAATCTCGCATTGGAAGAGGCCACAGAAAAAGCACAGCTGGTCTGTCAGAACCTGTTTGAGAACTGCATATACAGGACGTCATTGAAAAGGATAGCAGCTCACGAGGCCGAATGCCCAAAGAAGCCAAAAAGACTGTGTTCAGCTGAGTCGAAAAGCGAAGCTTCCAAGAAGTAGAAGATTGGGGTTGTACACTTTGTGAAATATCATACTTAGGCATTATGAGATTCGATTTTAGAGAGCTTTGAGATTGTATGTGAGCATAAAGTTAGCAGCACTTCTGATGTCCATATGTTTATTCAGCATAGTGACACTTCCGTCACCAGACTCGTGCTTGAACACTTTCTCATTGTTTACTTGTCACTACAGGATAGCCTATCTGAGGACATTAAATGAGTAGACAATGAGAAACGATATTAAGAATGTGTGAGAGAAGAGATACTAAATAAATTATTTGCCGTCAACGTTTCTTTTTACTTCCCACGCCTACTGGCGGGGAAGTATTGCAATTGCGAAAAACCATATCACTCCTATAACTTGAGAAGTACTTTTCAGTTTGGATGAAATTTGTACACAGTGTTACTTCTATGCCAAGCATGCAAGAGCTCTGCAGTTTTTGAAATTAGGTCCAACGGTAGCGGAGCTAGTGGTAAAATTACGAAAATCGCTCAAACTGTGTTTTTGATGTTTTTGGGGCTTCTGATCATTTCCAGAAAAATATTTTTTAGGGGTTGAAAATCGGTGGTTGGAGGTTGTAGGGGATTAATTTTACGCACCTCTCAGATATTTCAAACATCAAAGATTTCCACGTACATTTGCCCTTCATACGCTGAGCACTGTCTGCGGGTCTGCGTCTGATTGATTCTGACTGCATCGACGGTTCTTTAGAGTTATCATTCTAATCTGGTTCAGCACCGTTGCCAGATGGTCGATACTTAGAGCAGGGAAGAAACTAGCGCTTGCATTATCAAATGGGTAGGGACTATGGTGTATGAACTAATTGCATGGGCCTGTTTGGCTGACTTAATCAATTTAATTTTTTTGTTATATATGTTTGTAGCTAGTTCAGGGGGACTAACGTGTGTCAAACATAATCGTTTATGAACTGATGACAATGTTGCGTGGGAAGTGCAGAGTCAACTTACTTGACGGCATTTTTCGCTTTTGTAAATTGGATTTCCTTGAGGGTGATTTATCTGTAAAAGGTGGAAACAATTTACAATTATCTCCGTACTTGAAGAAACAATTTCACTCTCCATCTATCTTGTTATTTAAGTGGCATATAGCACGATTTTAAAGTCAAAATGGCTGGCGAGGATATTTTGTAAGAAAAATACCTAACTTGTGTTCTAGTGAAGTGTTGTAGAAAATAATCACTGACGTGTTGTATACATGAGATATTTAACTTCTGTAAAATAAGTCTACAGCTCAAATACTCTTTTACTTTCTTACATAGTGCTACATACATTTCGATTTTTTTAAATCTTTGCATTTCTCAAACTGATGATTTTGAGTTTTGTAATTATGGAATTGTACACTTGACTGATTTTATCTTTTGAGAATAAACAACTTGACAATTGATGTTTTTTTGCTATAGATAATGTAAGCTTATATAATGAATCCTCATCAAATTAAAGTGCTGCAGATAAATATGAATGGTTACTTCCAGGGTTGGCAAGATATTTTTCTGTGAATTCTCTTTTTAGCACTCTATCTTTCAAACCAAAAAGTCTTTGGTTCAAATCAAGAAGACTGGAAACAGGATGACAAAGTCATAGAGAAGGTGAAGCCAGACGTGTCGAGAATAACTGCCCGTACATATGGGCGACAAGTTGTGGAGCTGCAAAAAAACGAGTAATCGTAATGAAGACTAGAGATAGAAGGTTAAGCTGCGTAAATGGTATAAATATTCGTATGAAGCTCAACGTGTCGCCCAGTATGGTGTGGCTCTCCGAAATCTAGTAGGCGTAGAGCGTCTTCGCATTGAAAAATATCATCAAAACCTTCCGCAATACGTATGTGCATTTCACTCACGTTTTTCCATGCTTTGTAGGTTTATTCATTTCTGCATGCAACTCGTCCGAACTGTCAAATTGGAATTGTATACAGTAATGATGACACCAACACACAAAGATGCCATATGCGCAGAACCTGAAATTAATTTTCTACACAGTGTACACACGAAAGAGATGCTCTATGCGCAGGATCTGAAATTTATTTCCTGTGCAGTGTCCTTACTTCATCGTCGACATTTTTGGCTTCACCTCCACTCTATGAGTTTAACCTCCTATCTCCAGTCTTAGTGAATGGAGAAGTTCCGTGATATTCAGAATCGCATAAGTAATAACATACCAGCAAAATATACACTAAATATAATCAGTCAGTGAAAAAATTATTGAAATCGGCCAATAAATGAGAAGAGAAATTGATACTTAAATTTGGCGCATTATATCGCGAAATTATTGCTGCAGTTCGTTCGCGACTGACGTCACAATTCTCTAGTGGCCAGCGACTCGTCGCGTAGGTGTTCAACAGCGTCTATGCGTTTAGTCATTAGTCTATAGACAATTCATAAGACACACCTGTGCGCTCGGACACGTGGTTTCCGGTTGATAACTATTGAGTACTGCGTAAGTTCAGACCATTATGGAAGCCGGATTTGTAAAAGGGTTAAGTGACAATTTATCCAAAATTGACATTTATGCCGTGATGGAAGTCTTTCTTCAAATCCATCATATACAAGCGCGGAAATAAAAGGTGTGAAACTTTAGAAGTAAGTATTTATGTCTACTGCTACACTATCACAACTAGCGGCACAATGTGCGATACCCTACTGAGGTTTTAAATAAATTGGTGTTGATGCTTAATGTGAGTACAGATTTGCGAATAATACACAATACTTTTCTAAAATCTCATTAAAGTATATATAAAGGGTGTTAATAAAGTATGTAGACAAACTTTAACCATCAAACCTTTGGTCAATTTGAAGACTAAAATGTTCATATGAACATGTGTCCTTAACGGCTTTCTTTTCGAGCTAGAGCACTATGACTAAAGAAATACGAGTAATGTTCCAAATATGTATTTCAATGAATAATGACATTTATTGGACAGTTGGTATAACGTATGATAAATTTTGAATGTTTTATAAGTTGCTCAGGCTCAATATGAACTTGGATAGAAATAGAACTATCCTGTATTTTTGGAAAAAAGATATTTAGATGGTCAGTAGTTTTGAACAGTAACATTCGAATAGAACGACAACAATAGAAAATATCGCATAGTTTTTTTTGCAATAAATGTTCAAAGTGGCCAGACAACAAAACAAATATTTGACAGCTGTCGAATTATTTGAGAAAATAAATTAATTCAATTATTTTCGGGTACGTCGTAGGTGTCTAGATAAGCACAATGCTTAAATATAGTATTGTGATCAAAACAAATCAATGTTTTTCAAAAAATTGTATAACAGTACCTGTCAGCATTTTTCCATCTAGAAACCATTTGTAATTCAAATTGCGCGTTTGAGATTGGTAGAAAATAAGACGAGAGAAATAGTCGTCATGAAACCACATGATAAGTTTCAGATGCTAGGAGCCCCTTCCCACTTCAGTTGGCCCATTTCAAGATTTGTACCAAAATATGCCTTTATAAACTAAACATGACGAAACTATTTACTTCTAAAACAATTTATTTTCTCAAAAACATTTCAGATACACTCTAGTCGTAAAAATACATATTTGAAATCATTTAGACCTATAACTAATATAATATCTGAACAAATAAACAATGTGCGAATAAATGCGCGAAGCTAACAAAGCAACAATTGAAAGATTACCATTGGGTAACATCACCTTTATTTTTTATTACGGCTGAAAAGTTTTGGCAAAAATTTGGTGCAAAACAATCACATATTTCTTGAAGCTTTTGTCTCAGTTCGGTGATTGTACGAGCAGGATGTTGTCGTAGAACCTTTTTCATCTCGTGCCACAAAGTTTCAGTATGTGACAGATCTGGACTGCTAGAAACCCATTTCAAAGTGGTACATTATTTTCTTCCATCCATTTGCTGCACCATCTTGCTGAAACACAAAATCTTGGCCGGATGTCAAACATTCTTCCATCACTGGTAAAAGCGATTCTTCTAAAATTGCCAAATATTTGTTTGTATCCACATTTCCATCAATAAAATGAAGTTTTCCTACTCCTTTTGATGACATACTGCCCCAGACCATAATGGATGCTGGAAATTTCACTTTTCTCTTCAGACAGTCAACATAGAATGCCTCATTTTTTTGCGAATAACTCTACTGCGCCTGTCTCGAATCGGGCCTCATCACTCCATTATATTGCACACCATTGTTGAGGTGTCCATTGTCTATGTTCTTTAGCTTAGGGTTTTTACTTTACTTTTTTTTATAATAAAACTTACCTTGCAAGTGCTAAATCCCAGTTTGTGGGCCCGTCTATGAGTTGTGGACCTCGAAATTCTCCTTCCAAAAGCGTCACTCCACAGAGCACTTAATTGTAAATACATAATTGGCACGCGGGGGGGGGGGGGGGGATTTTCTATATATATATATATAAAATAGTAGAGAAAATGAAAATCGTACTTCTATTAATGATAATGTAATTCTAGATCAAATAGTTAATAAATATCTGATAAAACATTGTTTTTTTTTCCAATTCTTGGAAGAAGTACACAACGATGAAAGCATCGTGTGGGACCCGCATTAGTCTGGCCACAAATCACAGAATACTTTAATTTATTTCTGTAATTAGTGTAGACTGGCCTCCCAATCTATTATAATTCGTTGCTACAAACTAGTAACCTAGTAACTCTTGTTTTTCCAACCATCCTTATTTGCTACCACTGTCAAAAATAACGTAATGGAAGGATTAACGATTTGTTTTGTTGCACTAAAAACTATCTATTGGCTCACATTGCCTTCATACGAATACCAATACCTTGCATTTAGGCAGTTTACTCTCCTACTCCTGTTTCCAGTCTTCTTGGTTACCCGTTGTTGTGACGTTTCTTTGACTTGACATTTCTTACATCACTTTTTATCTGCCACAAATTTTGAACAACCACACTTTTCAGTACTTTAAAGTTTTAAAATAATGTAACATACTCTCTCAAGTGCAAAAAGGCCATTACTCGTTATCAATAGCTGCAGCGCCATTCAATGTTAAGATGGGAATAGCTTAACATTACTGACAATTATGTGGAAGTCTAAATTAAACTACAAATATATACAACACTGTCTCAGCCAAATAAGGCTGATGAGCACATCTAATAAACCAAAGAATCACTACGAATCGTTGGGCGTATCAAAGGGTTCGACGCAAGGAGAAATAAAATCAGCGTATTATAAGTTATCAATGGTGTATCACCCTGACAAAAATCCAAATGATGCTGCCAGTTCCCAGAAGTTTAGAGACATTACTGCAGCTTATGAGGTCCTGGGAAATGTTAAGACGAGAAAGCTGTATGACAGAGGTATTTGTTATAACATGAGCATTTCCTTTTGGTTATAGCAGAGTACTATCAAGTATTTTGTTATATTCAGATCAAAATATGCTGATACAAAATTGCATTTCTAGCTTACCTTATGTTGTCAAGGATAGCTCATTTATTTTGCTGCTCATAGTATTGGAAAAAATTGTATTCAAAGTTTGTATCTGAGCTAAACTCTCTGAATTTTTCAAGGGAGTCAGTTTTGACAAAGATATTAATGTATAGGGTTCTTCCCAAGCTAACCCAATATGTATTACAGGAGAAATGACTAGAATTTGTTGAAATCTACATGAAAGGTTTATTCAGCATTATTAAAAACTATATATATATATATGCATTATTGGTTTCAAATTTTGAAACAGTAAGCAGTACAATACAAAATCGTATATGAAGGCAAAGTTGGGCAACTAATAAAATGTTACTTAGACAGGTTAGCAATTCAGAGTATTTTGGAAAGGAAATTGTCATTCCAAATCAAATATGTAGACCGCCACAAGATGGCGTTTATAATTTCTCTAGTTACCCCTATGATATGGTTATCGACTGAAAGGGCTTGATGATTGATGAAAGGAACACAATAAGCAAAGTGACGTAATTCTAATCCAATCTGGCGTACGTTTAATAGGACAATTGATAATGCAATATTATTGTAACATGGTGATGATCAATCTGATGATGAAGCCAGGAAGTGGCCATGAGAACCCAGCGAATAGAGCCTCGCTTGATTCCTCATGACAAGTCTTTAGTCTTACAGTCTGATGATTAAGTTAGTCAAGAATTGTATAAAAAATAATCATCTATAATAACTATATCAAATTTCAACTTTTTAACATTAGTTTGCTGAAATGTAAGTTCAGTCAATTGGGCAAGAATACTTCATATACGAGTATATAACGTTATATATATATCCTGCATTTACAAGAATTTGTTATATTTTTTGTTTCTTTTATGCATCCTATGCATTTGTTTCCAAAATATGCATAATATATGAATAATTATTTTTGCTTATGTCAATAAAATAGTAACAAAGACCTTATATGAGTTATTCTTGTTTATTTCATACATTCTTATTTGTATTATTAAATTTCTCATTATGATATTCAATTCTTCGGAAAATTAACTAATAATAATAATAATAATAATAATGCCTTTATCAGCTGCAGTGAGGTGAAGTTTAGCCAGATGGCTACTCTTACACTCAACCCTACAACAGAAAAAAAAGAATACTTAAACACATGAACAAAATAATAACATACAAAAAAAATACAGTTCATAAACATAACATTGACTGCATGAGACAAATGCAGATAGTGTGAGAGTTTTATATTTGAAACAAAAATAGTAGAAAATAATAAGAAAAAGGCACATGAACACAAGAAAAACTGAACTAAATGGACTCCAGCAGCTGACTTTTCATTAATTTCTTAAAAGAAGCAACCTGTTTGGATCGATAGCCACTGTTGACTGCATTGTAATGCTTAACAGCATTATAGGTGTAACCTCTTTCAAAGACCGAGGTATTGTGAGGAGGCATGTTAAAATTAGCATTAAATCTAAGAGCTCTGCTAACAAAATTACCACAGGGAACTAATTTGCTAGCAAGGTAAGCTGTGGTCTGTTAGATAATAGAACTTTATGCGTGAAGACGGTCAAAAGATATAAAAATAACTTATCAATTCGCAACCAGTTGAGTTCTTTGATTTTATCTGAGACGTGACTAAACTTGCGCAATCCAAAAATAAATCTACAACAGCTTTTCTGAATTTTCTGGAGTTTCCTTTTGTGGACGTAGTCTAAACATGGGTAATAAAGAACAAGAGAGTAAGAAATGACAGACAACACAAGGCGAGCTTTTTTCGGGATTTAAAATTCAGGATGAATCGATTAGAATAGAGGAGTTTCAAACGCATATACGTTACTGTAGATAAGAAAGAGACATGCCGATCGAATCTCATATTTAACAACGGTAACACCGAGATTCTTGGCATAATCCACAAACGGGATGAGTGTCTCATCCAAAACAACACAAATCCTCTGCTTCATTTCACGGTAGGAGTTCTTCGAACAGTACAATATTGCAGTAGTTTTATTAGGATTGATCTTCAAGCAGTGTTTGTTACAGTAATCACTGATGTTAGCCAAATCTAAATTAACTTTAAAAGAAACTTCATCAACCTTTGATGGATCGAAACCAAACACTAACTGAGTATCATCTGCATAAGTCTGCATACAACAGTAGACTAAACAGTCTTGCAGATCGATCGTATAAATCAGATATAGTAAGGGACCTAATACTGAACCCTGTGGAACTCCTGAAGGAACTGGCTCAGTGGAGGAAATCCCCTGATCAGTTTTCACTGTTTGTTGACGATTTAGCAAGTATGACTCAAAGAACCTTAGAACTATATCTGACATTCCATAATGAGATAACTTACTCAGTAGTATCTGGTGATTGACCATTTCAAAGGCTTTCGAGAAATCTAACAGTACCAAGAGGGTGTTGATGTAATTATCTAAATTGTGAATGATGGAATCAGTAAGATGTAATAAGGACGAAGTAGTGCTGTAACCAGCTCTGAAACCTGACTGATATAGAGGAAATAAGTGATTTTGTTCGAAAAACTCCACTAGTTGTGAGTAGACAGCTCTTTCGAGTATTTTTGATAGAAAGTGTAATAAGGTAATTGGCCTGAGATCCGAATATTGTTCTGGATGATTAGTTTTAGCTATTGGAATAATAATACCATTTTTCCAACTGCAGGAAAGTAACCTGTTTTCAAGACAGACATTAATAATGAGTTATATGGTCTATAGTATCAAGCAAACATAAGCAAACCATATTTAAAGTTAGACCATCAGAGCCACATGCCGTAGACTTAATGTGAGAGATTATATTGACAATGTCTTGCTGAGTAAGGAGTTTAAAAGCAAACAGAGATGCATCCGGTGTATGGCGTCTATCGCTATAAGAGTTAGAGACACTATCAATCAAATTTGGATCAGCTGCAGCTGTCTGGAAAATTGAAAGAAATTAATTATTTAAAATGTTAAGCTCAAGGAGGTATCGTAACATGTTTCTGGGCTACTACATTCATCCTCCTCAGGTGTTTCCAAGCTTGACTAGAGTTAAGATTCCCGAAACGTGACATATATGCTTTTTTCTCTCTTCTAAGCGATGCAAGGGCATAATTTCTCAAATCTTTGTAGCTGGCCCAATTCTGATCGGATCTGTTATGCTGATAGACAGAAAATGCCTCTTCTCTGAGTTGAAATCTCATTTTCAAGTTAGGACTGAGCCAGTGCGCAGCAGGTTTTGTGACACGTACTGTACGTAGCGGCGCGAAGAGATCGAATTGATAAATAAGACGGCCTGTAAAAATAGAGACTTTAATATCCACATCATTCACGAAATAAATATCATTAAGCTGCATTGATGCAATCTGCGTCTTAAAACTTTGAATATCAATGCTATTAAGATCTCTATATGTTACAAATCTAGGCTCTATTTTATTATAACAAACAGAAATATCATAGTAAGTGAGCCGATGGTCACTAATTGTGTGTGCATTGAGTGTCCCGGACCTTTTGACGATAGTATTGTCACTAACAAAAATTGGATCAAGTAATGTGGAACTGAAGGCTGTAACACGTGTAGGCTCATCAATGACTTGAATGAAATTGAATGAATCAAAACGGCTGCTGAGGATATTGTTATGAGCAAGCAAGTCGGCATTCATATCGCCAAGAATATAATGTCTTTTTGGGGAGTGAAAATGAAATAAGATTTTCTAAACACTGGATGGCTTGAGGTATAGAGCAATGTAGTGGCCTATATATAACAACAATTAACATACTGGACCCGTGCAGTTTGAATTTACAGCATAACGTTTCAAGAGGATTTATAAAGTCATCGAGCGCAACTGGGATAAGATTAGTGCTAATATCTAATTTAACATAGAGACTGATGCCAGCCCCTCTGCTCCCACGGTCCTTACGGAAGAAATTATACCCAAGTTTATTGACTACAGTGCTGTCGACACTAGAATGCAGCCATGTTTCAGTGACTGCTACAACATCAAACTTATATTGAACAAGAGAGGAAAAATCATTAAAGTGAGCTGTTAGAGAATGCACATTTAAATGACATAGTTTCAAGACACTTTTTATTGTGTTAGCCATAATCCACCCTTTCTTTTAGAGTTTGAACATAATTGAGAAACACAGGACAGTTTGGAAAATTAGCCGAATGATCAACTGGTAGTCTTCTTGTATACCTTGTTATGGTTCAGGCAGTTTAAGCATTGTAGGGCGCTCGAGTTACACTCCTTGATTTTATGATTGCGCGTACACCTTGGGCAGGACAGATCAGCTTTACAAGATGCTTCAGAATGGCCAAACGAACAGCACTTGAAACACTTTAATGTGCGAAAGTGATCAGAGATAGGTGACTTTTTCCATCCAATATATAAAAACCCTGTCTTTAATAATTCCGATCTTAGAGTAGGAGTGACTTCAATTACGATGTTGATTCCGCGGGAGGATTTGAGCTTAGTGACAAACTTAAGTAGAGAACCATCAGTGTTGTTAAGAGAAGCTATGTTCGAAATCAAATCATCAGGATTGTCAAGACCATCCAAATTAACGTTTCTTATAAGCAGGCGTGGATTCTTAGCTTCAGATATTGAATATTTAGAACCCAATTTATTGCAAAGATTATCTTTCAGTGTGCTCAGGGAACTGCCATCTTTGCAGTCCATAGCAATACCATTACGAATTTTTCGAGTATTATTGATGCAAACATTAAGGCTGGCTCGATTAACAGAAGACTTTACTTCACTGAGAATGGAATTCACATCTGCCTCGTTATCAGCCTTAATCAGGAGGGTCGAAGAAATTAATTTATTTCTCTTCACTACTTGCTCGGTCCAGGAATGATAGCGGATTGGTCAGTGCTAACAGAAGGCGAAGAAATCTTCTCATGAGACTCAATGACAGATTTTTGAAGGGACACTGTATACTGCAAGTCATCAAGATGTTTCTTAGTTATACTAATTTCACGATTCAATTGATCAATTTCCCCCTGCATAGATTCAATACCGATTATAGTAAGAGACGCTTTTGATTGCATTACAATTTGGCAATCGCTGCATACCCAGTGGATGTTATCACAATCTGAAAATATTTTAAGCCAAGCATCTTTAAACGAAACACAATGGCAGTGGAATTTACCGCTACATAAGCAGCATTTGACAAGTTTGGTTTTAACAATGAAATTGTCCTCTCAGAAGTTACAGACATCTACATCAGGTGCCATGACAATTGCATGGACCTAATATACCTGGACTATCTATTGGGAAAACAAATGAAGAATGTGTTTTTGCTCAGCTAAGTACAAAAATATATGTGCAAAACTGAATCTACGTGTTAGGCGATTAAGAGTCTTACCGCACAGGTAATAAGGAAAAAGAATCCTGCGTGCTACAGGTTCGAAAACAGCTGAACTATTCAATAATACACACGCATACACACTTCACATAACAAAGTAGAGATTCAAAAAATTTTCACGGATGTTCAACCCTAAGTAATATCGCTCACTTTTTTTGTGTATAAATTCACTGTCTCATTATTTTCTGAATACTTTTTCGAAAATCTCACTTTTCTCAACTAAATTAATGCTTTGGGCCACCATCACCCCTGCCAATAGAATGTGATGCTATAACTACTAAATAGTAGTAACCATACATTCAAAATGCCAAAAAACGACAGAAGGGTGGGGCATTCAAAGCGAGCAATGACTGCATGAATGCTCGCTGTGTAACATGTGACATTACATCTCGTAACGTCGCCGTCGGTCAGTTCCCTACCTATACATATGTGGTAAACTTAGGCTCACATTCTAAGTACATGGCATAGACGAACTTATTATGTCATGTCAAAACTGGCTATGGTTTAAAACAAAATTTGATTGTTTTAGTGAGCCAAGTTCTGCCACTCCTTGCTTGTAAAATAAGTTTAAAAAACGCAGAATATATATTTTTTGAGGGCTATCACTTTAAATCTATAAAGTTTATTTCAGAAAAAATGTTGGTATCGTCTTTTATTTTCAAGAGGCCAAACATTGGTTACGTTGATGTTGCTGAATATTGCTCACTATCAAATGGATTGAGAAATATATATTATAGCACAGCTCAATATATCCTTTTTCACATGCATGACTTCTGTCAGTCAATCTGAAAGATTTCAATGTTCTTCAAAGTGGTCAATTTAGATAATGTATGTATAGCCTTTTTGACGAGTATCCATTACGGTAGAATGACAGCGGACTATGTAGTAATATTTAAAAATTCCCTATATCAGCAAACGACAGATCATTCTGACGGATCCGTGAATGCCAGGTAGACAGGGCTATATTTTGTTTTGGCTTTTTGTACGTTACAGTTTCATTTTGTACTTGCTTAAAGCTCTTTTATTTAGAAAAGTTCATTTGCATACAAAAAACAAAATGTTTTTTAATATATTTACACCCTGTTCATTATTGCCAACGTAGCAGACCAACACAAAACTGCCACTTGCTGATCAGCTGTTCACCTCCGTAGATGTGAAAGCGTGATGGATGCTCATGAAATAGGGTACATCTAGTAGACTAGGCTAAGCCATATTTCACTCAGCTCAATCTTGTAGCAGCTATGTGGAACTGAAAGTAACATTGAAATATGTTTCCTATAAAAACAATGAATATATTTTCTAAAATTCATTAATTTTATTCTAGGTTTATATATGGGTTCAATGGGGCATGCACCTACAGAACAAGAGCCTGTAGACAAGTTCTACAAATCAAGGGAAAATCGTTCTAAGCCTCCTACACCAACTGGTCGAACCCCCATCTATGATTTTGATGAATGGTCCAAAAACCATTATGGTGCTACGTTTAAAAAGCATCAAGAGAATAGAGAAAAAGCTAGGATGTACCAAATCCACAGGCAAATGCATAAGGAACATGGTGTTAAAACAGACACAATTTTTTTCATGTTTGCCCTGTTGATCCTCGTCAGTATGTGTATTTCATCTGACTATGGTTATGATCGAGTACCAAATAAAGATAAAAATAATGTAAATAATGCTGAATTGAAAAAGTGATCAAGGCTATATTGTAGGCAATTTTAAATTTAAATCATGCTATCATTGTTTACAGATTCTATTTTTTTAAGACAGATTGTGATAGTTCAATTTGTAGGCTATGAATATCTGTGGTATGTTACCATAAAGCAAATGTTTGAAGATTTTGAGAAAGACGATATAGAAATTCAACGTTCTAGAACGTATCCTAAAAAGATATTTGAATATTGTATATGTACAGATATTTATTATCCTTTGTAAATATGTCTAAATAGAAAGTCTTATTCCATATAGTCTTATTTTGGTAGTACTAGTACCAATCTGACATAATCACCTTAAAACCTTGAAAATAGCATTCATTAGCTTCAAAAAAGTATCTTGTTTGTATTTTCTTCATTTTCTATGAATGAAAAGTGGCACAACTGGACCACTTATGTTCGACCGTAAAATTTCGCGGCTAAGCTGTGTCGTAATAATTTTCAGCAGCAGTTAATAAGCGAAATTGTCACTATTGGGCACCAGAGAATCCAAGGTAAAAACACCAAAGGCCTCTACATAGCCTAAAAGTAACTGTGTGGTGTGCAATGTCGGCTTCAGGAATTATCGGTCCGTTCTTTTTTGAGAACCAACGTGGCATAGCCCAGACTGTAACTAGTGATCGTTATTGTGCAATGCTTCGGGAGTTTTTGGTACCCCAGCTACAAGTATTTGATGGCTTTGATCAAGAAACCACACATACAGCCCGAGCATCTATGAAAGTCGTTCGAGAATTGTTAATATAAAAGGTCATCTCTCGCTTTGGAGACTTAAACGGGCCATCTAGGTCTCCAGATCTCACATCATTGGATTTTTTTGTGGGGATACCTTAAAAGTAAAGTTTATGTTAATCGGCCTAGGACTTTGCAAGAATTAAAACAAAAAATACATTGCAGGAGCGTTCTACCGGAATGGAAGGCTCCTCCACAATATAATTTTTTAAAACATGAAATCCGCCTATATTGTGTGCATTTATGCTTCAATAAATCAATTTTAAAACCTCAAGACAACTTATTATGTATTAGCCTTTAAAAATGGAAATTTATTCCTGGACACCCAGTATAATCACTGTGAGAAAGTGAGCGTGATTCTCTTCCCTGGAGAATGATACCAAATTCTGACAGTTGTTGACATTTGTCAAACAAGTTTCTGCCTTGGTGGAAAATCTCAGTTTCATAGCATACAGTTATACCCGTACAGAAAGTCGTGTTTTTTGTTATCCATATATTTTTAAAAATACATAGTGATACATTTCATATTGTAAAGCATAAAAAATATATTCAAAAAATCATCTTCTGTTGCTTCAAAGCAAAAGTGTTGCAATACTTGGGCCTCTGGATTATTTTGTAAGCATCCCTCAATTTCTCAAAATCATTTGCGCTGCACTTGAGCTGGATTTTCATTTTGTTCCCTGTGATACCAACAGTTCTTGGAACAAGTCCATATTTATCTATTAGGGCAGCTTTTCTAATTTTTGCGTCACTTGAATAATGGTCATAATATGAGTTTTGTTGCTCAAGCCTCCTTTGATCCATAGGGACGTTGCAAACTATGCATCTGAAAATCAATTACTTACACAACACGTATTGATATTTGAAAAGTTGAATGATGTAGTTTAGTAAATGGACCCTCTTTTGATCAATCATGTGAGGTCATTGTACGGGAATAATGTATGAAATGTCCTATAGTAGCACGGGTATTTACCAGCATTATAATTTTCATACATTTGGTTTTAGGTGAAAAACGTTGCACTGTCAACATTTTTGAGAACCTTTATGTAATGGGAATATTTATTCCGGCAGCATGCGACTCACGTGGTTCTCACGTTACATTTGTCTGCTTTTTTAAGTGCGACTCGTATGAATTATGTTTTTTTTACCTGCTTTTTCCATACAAGTCAGTCTTTAACGGCTGAAGTAACGCCGAATCATCCAATTTGAACTGATAGGTACAGATGTGTTCAGGCGCCTCTTTTTCAAATTTTTCAGAAGAGTGAGTTTCAAAATAGTGTTCATTCCGAAACGCTTTCAGATCTTCCGAACTTGCCTGGGAAGTAAAGTAACTACTTGTCTGTGATGTCCCTGGTTTATTTGTGCCTTAAATGATTCGTTTTTTTATACAGAGGTTATGAAAATGGGCTGACCGGGTGAAATCACCACCCTCAAACATTGTAGAGGATTGTATGTCTAGTTTTTAGTGGAAAATGTATGTTGATTTTAAGAAGTGTGCGGTGGACAATTCAGTCTGAGTGATTGAGTCCTGTCAGCTGACAAGGTCGCATCCTGATTTGTATTTTCGTTAGATAAAAGAAGTTGCAAGAAATTTATTTTTATGTTTTGCTACTGACTTTTAAAACGCATAGTAGTAAACACTAGATTCACAAAATAAGTATGGAGCGGAATTTGAAAATAGAGTGAAATATTTTTATATAAAATGTCATAGCCAGATAGGTGCATTGCAAATGAGCTTTTTTGTAACCTTTCACATACCGTAAATCATTGTAACAGATTTCTCCAAATTTTTCTCAGAAGCGTCTGTCATCACTGCGGAGTCTAGTGGTTTGTCATCTTCGCCCCTATATCGGTTGTAAGCTTTTCTTTGTTCAGTATAATCAAATTCTTCATCAGTGTTAACGGTTGTTATAAGCGTGTTGTTCAGACTCGATGAAGAAGGGTCAATCTTATCTGGCATGTGTAAAATATTATTTTTTTGTTGTATATAGAGTTTATTATTTATCTATTATATATTCAAACCTCTTTTACTCCACGTCAAAATAAACAAGGTCACTCCATCGTCGCTTTTTTTCGCTTGTTGCTGCCACCCACAGGCATTTATGACCAGCTGACCAATGGAGCGCGCAAATTTAAACTTCGCGCGCTGTGTTTTGGTGTGGAATAAATGGGATTTGAACACACTTGAGAGACGAAAATCAGTGTGTCACTGTCTTTGCTTCACTAGAGCTGGGCGGGCTGCACCGAAATCTACAGGTTCTCCCAGTGATTTGGGATTTTCAAATGAAATTTTACATTTTAGGCAATAATTTTTATAGACAAAACGTGGTGGTGGTGCGGTATCATCAAAGCAAATAATGTACTTTTTTATTCTATTACTATACCGAAGCAGCCGCGTAGACAGAAGCCTAAATACCAGGAGCGTAAAGAGAACTTGTTAATCCGATTTTTGAACTGCCTATGGTTAGTAACACGTTAATAGAACTGAGAAAAGAATCTCCAGGTAGATGGTTCCACAATCTCGACACCCTGTGGACAAAGGAGCGATCATATCGGCCAGTTTTGGATGTACGAAGTTCGACACAGTAAGGATGGAATGCCGAAGACATAGCAGTAGAGTCGTCCCCTTCTGAGCGGGGCCGTGGCAAATGTTTGTTCCGTAAGTTGTTGTATCCAGTATACAACTTCTTCCCGTTCAAGTGATTGTACACGCGTTAAGGAATACCTCAGTACCGATCTACCGATTTCCGGCAGGCGGTACAAGTCCGCCAACGGGCCACTTTAAGTCTATTTAACATCACTAATACGTAAAAAGAAGTTGGTAGACAAGGACCAGCCGCCCGAGGCAGTACCACCCGCTAGCTTTTCCCAGTCTTATAAATGTCCGCATGTTTCCACACCTGAGCTATGCAGTCGGTTATCTTCCAAAACAAAGAAATTAATGATGATGGATTGTTCGACCACTAAGAACTCCGGACGTAAACTCGCTCCTATCTCGGAATGTCCGGGTGGAGGGTGGGCTCGAGGGAACAACATCGACGATAACATTTGTTTTTCGAACATCTGCGGGATTAACAGCAACATTGATGCTGTTCATCACTACCTGCAATCCAATCGTCCCGCCGCGCTTTTCTTGGCGGAGACAAAAATCTCAGAGTCTGCACCGATTAACCATCTTAACTTCCCAAACTACGAGGTGCACTCCAATCTGAGAAAGAACGGGGGAGTTGTGGCTTTTGTCCGCAGCAGTCTTTCCTGCTCCAGAGATGTTTCTTTGGAATCAGACCGGAAGGACATTGTGGCTTCGCCTCAACTCCAAAAGATCACCCAAATTTATTTGCTGCCTTTATCGCTCTCCCTCGGACCATAACTGGGATGACCTACTCGAATACCTCGCCGTCCAGATCGAGTTCCTGAACATCAATCATCCCGCTTCAGAGATAGTTCTTCTCGGTAATTTCAATGCCCATAATGAGCTTTGGTTGGGCTAAAACAAGACCAATGCAGCAGGTCGTGCACTCGAAGCGTTCGCTTTTACCCATGGGCTGACTCAGCTGGTGAGAAGCCGTACTTTTTTCCCCCGCGTCTCGTCACACGCCAGTAGCCTGCTGGATCTCTTTCTGACCACGAATCCTGTCCCTTACAGCACTGCTGTCCTGTCCCCCCTGAGTAACTCAGACCACGGTGTTGTGGAGGTTAGGTTTCGGTCAGAACCCGCTGTGGCAGCAGAAACTCGCACAGGCCGCAAAACTTGGCATTACGGACATGCCGACTGGGAGGGGCTCAGAGACTTCTTCTCTAGCTGTCCTTGGAAAGATGTCTGTTTCACTGACGCGGATGCGCCGGCTGTCTGTTCTTCGATAACTGAAATTATCAACGTCGGAATGGAGGAATACATTCCTCACACCGTGAAAGTGCCTAGACCAGGGTCCAACGGCTGGTTTAACAAATCGTGTGACGCTGCTCGCCAGCAGAAGATCAAGGCACACAAAACCTTCTTACAAAACCCCACTATAGAGAACAGACAAAACGACGTTGAGTCCAGAAACAAATATAAAGCAGTGGTTCGCAATGTTAAAAACCAGCACGATATAAAAGTTAGGCACAGGGTAATGTCGCAGCGCAATGACAGTCGGTCTTTCTGGATGCTGGCCAAGCAGATTGAAAAGAACTTCGCTCACAGTAGCTCACTTACGTGTCAGGATGGAACTATTGTATTCAACTCAAAGGCCAAGGCGGAAGTGCTAGCCAAGATCTTTGCTGGCAACTCCACCATGGACGTCCCCCCCAACGCCCAAGTGCCGTCAATTCAAAGGGTTCCCTACTCTATGCGGGAGGTAACATTCAGGCATAAGACCGTAAGACGAGTGCTCTTGTTGCTCGACATCAACAAAGCTTCTGGTCCGGACTTGATTCCTGCCATTGTACTGAAGAGATGTGCACCGCAGCTTGCTCCAGTTCTTTCGCGCCTCTTCCAGATATCTTATGAATCCGGCACCTTCCCAGAAAACTGGAAATTTTCTCATGTCCAACCCATCCCAAAAAAGGGATCTAAGACCGACCCTCATAACTACAGGCCTATAGCTGTGCTTTCTGTTTTAAGTGAGGTGATGGAGAGGTGCATAAATCGTGAGCTTCTGGACTACCTCGAACGTCACAGCTTGATTAGCGACAGCCAGTCTGGTTTCCGGCACCAACAATCCACAGGGGACCTCCTAGCTTACGGCACTCAATTGTGGAGTAAACTAATCCAGTCTTATG